TGATAGCTAGTGAATGCAGAAAATAAATGAAAAAAAATATGAAAAAGGATATGATCAAGTACAGAAAATATAAAAAGTAACATACAACTTATTGCAATGAAATGTTGCAAATAGTAAAAGTCTGTCCAAAGAACACCATATTGAAACTAATAATATTCGTAGACAAATATTGAGATCAGGAATTTCACTGATGCGCCGTTCTGCCCCCATCGTTTGGGACGGTTACCGGATGTATTTCTTTCTGAAATTTTTTCTGCATATGTTGTTAGATTATTGGACTTATACTGCATGTAATATTCACAATATATTATTTATCGGGTTTAATTGTATGTTATATGCTATCTTATATTTAGCCCAAAAATAGTGGTCCTATGGATATTAATTTAAGTGGGCTAATAAGTTATCTAATAAGGTATAGGGCCCAAATGTGTAGAGACCCATGGGTTTGACCTAATCAATGATGGGCTGATTAGGGTTAAGCACTCTCTCTATAAATAAGGGGTTATGGTCCCTAGTTGAACACGTCATTCCGTCTTTCTGCATCCCATCGCTAGAGAGATAATTCCCGAAGGTGTGTATCAATTAGAAGACACAAACCTTAGCCTCCGTCTCCCGGATCTCTAAAGGTTATCTCCCATGGAGTCAGGTACGCTTCCGCTCAGTTAATTCTCTAGATAATTTCAATATGAAGATTAAAGTATTCATGGATTTATTCCAACAAATGGTATCAGAGCCTCCTTCATATTGAATTATTTGGAGTATTCATCCTTTTGTTTCAATGATATGCCGATGAGATGGAGACACTCCATTCATAATGTATTCGTCGAATCAGTATTTGATGATTAAAAGGATCAGGTATTTGGATCGCTTTCTCTCAATCGCACTTGACATATATACTTGTAAATTGTAATATGCCGATTGATTTGATTTTTTTTCCTGCGAGTCTACTATGTAATACGGAGTAGTTCAATAGAAATCCTGATTTTTCCGATTCATAAGTGAACTCGGTAAGTTGCAGGCTTGTAGTGGGAAAATCTTCTTCTACTTTTTCATCTGGTGTTGCGATTCTTTGTTTTTGGAGTGCCATGATTAATTCTCTCTTTAAAACTTTTGGTTGTGTGTTTGGGTTAAATCAATTCTAGATTGATTTTGGAGTCACTCAAATGATTCATGATTCAATGATTAACCGTGCCCCATGATCTTTTTCGTATTTCTTTTGATTTGAAAAATTAGGAAGTTGAAATAATGCTTTAATCACTTAATACGAAGTATTATATTATTAGTATATTGTAGCATATGGTGGAGTTAGGGTTGATTCATTATGAATCACGTTTTGAATCCTTTTTTAAGGAATACGCCATACACATTTGTTATTATGGGGTTTAAAAAAGGACTTCTTGATTTTCTTATTGATTTGTTTCCATTTTTGTGAGTGAGCCGAAATATACTACTTATGTATCAAATTAAATTTTGATCGATATGTTTTTTTTTTATTCAATTTTGGAAATGTTCTGGTTTTGGTAATTCAGTACATATATGTGATTATTACCAGTTTTGGTAATTAAATACTTATATGTGATTACGGCCAACATATTAGTTCTATTAGAATTATATATTTGGATATTACTGAAATAGATTACTTTTGTTGGTGGTCGTGATTTGCAGCTTGAAAAATTATGTATTATGTGTTATAGGATGTATAAACCCTATTTTGCGATCGCACGGTGATTGGGTACGAGTTTTAAAAATTATCGTTATACATAACACATTTACATGTGATTCAGAAAAATTCGCCCAATTTTATTTTCAAATTGTTGATTTAATATTAGCATGTCTAATATTTGGGTTGAATAATTGACACAACATGCTGCCAAAGTAACCTCTCTTGTTGAAATTAATTAACTCATATATTAAGATGATTGTGTACTTTCTTATTTTATGCGGATAATATAATCGGCCCAAAGGAAGGTTATTATTTGGCCAAAATTTAAGTACATTTGTGATAATAAAATTTGTGATAATTATGAGGTTTTCATGTGAATATTAAGTCGGTCCAAAGAAAGGCTTAATATTTGACATGATTTTATTATCGAAATTTTATTATTACACCAAGAGTATCACTTGCAAGTCTAATTTATGTCCAAAGACAAGATTAGATGTTGCGTTAGGTATCTTGTGATGGGGATTGCTAATATTTAAATTTAAAATTAATTATCAAATTACTTTCAGTTCCTAGAGCATATCATTTATATTATTTTTGTTCTCTTTCAGTCAACAATTCTGCTGCTACAATATCTGCTAATATTAATAGCATCCCAGTGCTTAACGGCACGAATTTTAAGGAATGGAAAGAGAACGTTATGATTGTTCTCGGTTGCATGGATCTAGACCTTGCACTTTGGACTGAGAAACTCGCCGCTCTTAAGGACACATCTAACCTTGATGAAAAGGGGGAGATAGAGAGGTGGGAACGCTCAAATCGCATGAGTGTAATGATCATGAAACGTGCAATTCCAGAATCATTCAGGGGCACAATGTCTGATGAGGCTGATGCCAAATTGTTCCTCGCCGAACTTGAAAAGCGTTTTGCTTAAAAAGAAAAGGCGGAAACTAGTACTCTTTTAAGCACTCTTGTTTCCATGAAGTATAAAGGCAAAGGGAACATAAGGGAGTACATTTTGGAAATGTCTCACATTGCTTCAAAACTAAGTGCACTAAAGCTTATTTTACCCGAGGAATTGCTTGTGTATTTAGTTTTGATCTCTCTTCCTTCTCAATTTAATCAATTTAAAGTCAATTACAACTGCATTAAGGAGAAATGGTCTCTCAATGAGCTCATTTCTCATTGTGTTCAAGAGGAAGAGAGAATAAAGCAAGATAAGACAGAAAGTGCTCATTTGGCATCTACCTCTAAGGGTAGCAAGAAAAGGAAAATTAAGGAAGCTGCAAATTCAGGGCCTCCCAGGAAGCATCATAAGGAAACTAAGGAAGAAACTAAGGAATCTAGATGCTTCTTTTGCAAAGGGACTAATCAAAAGAAAAAGAACTGCACTAAGTACCACGCTTGGCGTGCGAAAAAGGGTATGTCTCTTGCTCTTGTTTGTTCTAAGGTTAATTTAATTTCGGTACCAAAAGACACTTGGTGGGTAGATTCCGGTGCTACTACTCACATAAGTGTATCTATGCAGGGTTGCCTGAGCTGCCGAAAACCAATTGATGGTGAAAGATACATCTATGTCGGTGATGGCAAGCGGGTTGAAGTTGAGGCTATCGGTGTTTTTAGATTATTATTAAAGACTTGTTTTTATTTGGATTTGAAAGAGACATTTGTTGTGCCGTCATTTAGGCGGAATTTAATTTCTATTTCTGCATTGGACAAATTTGGTTATTCTTGTTCATTTGGAAATAGTCAGTTCAGTCTATTTCAAAATTCAAAACTTACTGGTACTGGCCTTTTATCAGTTTATGATAATATATATTCAGTTGATATAAATACCTCATATAATGAAACCTTGCATGTAAGTACTCGTGGTACTAAAAGAAAATTAACCAATGAGAATTCGTTTTCACTTTGGCACAAGCGTCTAGGACATATTTCTAAAGAAAGAATTCAGAGACTTGTGTGAGATGGAATTCTTGATTCTCTTGACTTCTCAAATTCTGATATTTGTGTTGAGTGCATTAAGGGAAAACAAATGAACAAACGGAGATTAGGTGCTGAGAGAGCTTCAGATCTATTAGAATTGATATATACAGACATTTGTGGACCATTCCCTACACCATTTAGAAATGGCCAAACATATTTTATCACATTCATAGATGATTACTCTCATTATGGTTACCTTTATCTCATTCATGAAAAGTCCCAATCAATAGACGTGTTCAAATCTTATAAGGCCGAAGTTGAAAACCAATTAGGCAAAAGAATAAAAACCGTTAGATCTGACCGTGGTGGTGAATACTATGGTAGATATGATGATTCTGGTGAACAACGTCCAGGGCCATTTGCTAAATTCCTAGAGGAGTGTGGAATTGTTCCTCAATGCACCATGCCAGGAACTCCTACATGAATGGTGTTGCTGAGAGACGAAATCGTACATTGAAGGACATGATTAGGAGTATGATTTGTCATACTACTTTACCAGATTCCCTCTGGGGAGAGGCACTAAAAAACTGCATCTTACATACTTAACAGAGTTCCCACTAAAGCTACAACTAAAACCCCTTATGAAATTTGGACTGGAAAGAAACCCAGTATAAATCATTTTCATGTTTGGGGTTGTCCAGCTGAGGCAAGGCCTTATAGGCCAAATGAAAAAAAACTGGACTCAAGAACAGTTAGTAGCTATTTTGTAGGATACTCTGAGAGGTCAAGGGGGTATAAGTTTTATGATCCCACTACCAGGACTATTTTTGAGACGGGTAATGCCCGGTTCTTTGAGGATATTGAGTTTGGGGGTGGGGAGATAAGGTTAGAGATTTTGTCTTTGAGGAAGAACATGTTACTCTTCCTTCAGTTGTCATTGAACATGATCAAGATATGTTTATTCCTAACGATGTTCAAGAAACAACTCCAGTTCATGACAATCTCGAAAACATCCCCAATCAAGTACCTGAATTTATTAATGAGGATCAAACTCAACAACCTCAAGAACCTGAGGTGCCATTAAGGAGATCCACTCGAGAGAGGAGAAGCGCAATTCCAGATGATTATATTGTATTTCTCCAAGAACATGAGGAAAATTGGGAATTGGTGGAAGAAATAATTGTCTTCCTCCAAGAACAAGAATCGGATGTTGGTTTTGCGGAAGATGACACTAGTAAAAAACTGGCTTATAGTGACACTTTCGTAGTGACACTTTTCTGATAGAACACTACCAATGACATAAAAGTGTCACTAATTTCTAACAAAAAACATCAATACCTTATAGTGACACTTAATGGGCCGGGTAGCTAGGTGTGAGCTTTAATTTTTTTAACTTAGCTTAATTTGTTTCATTACACTTGGCTAACATATCATATCCCACAAAAAGAAAAATCCATCGATCTAATGTTTCGTTCGTCCAGAGATAGAGCCCCGCCGCACAAACTAGCCCTAGCGTGAGATTGATTTCCATAGCTAATTTCTTCCGATCGCTGCCTTACTCTCGCTAATATCCTTCTCAATCGGCCGATTCTTCGTCCAGAGCTAGAGCACATACTCCGTCGCCCGAGTTCGATCAATTTAGTCCATGGCACCCTTCAACAATTCACTGATGAACAGTTCGCCCGAGTTTATACTAATGATGATACAAATTTCGGGTTTCATGGCGATTTCTCGATTTAGCATACATTAATCCGAACGATAATGCGCTAGCCCAGCAATTCGTAAATAGCAAAAGGCCCTATATTAGGGTGATCGTTTAGTAATAATCTGATTTATGCATCGAAGGTCAATAAAAATTTGATTGAGGATTAAACAAGCAAGTACGTAGTGTTGAAGGTAATCCTCCTATATATCAGATTTGATATTTAATGTTTTTAGCAAATAATATTTCAGTCATGTTTACGGTTTACCTATTCTTTAGACAATTTCTTAGTCTTGGCACATTGTTAAGAAGTGTAGTGGCAGAAAAGTAACTTAGTTAACTGCCTATTTTACTCCTGTATATTTCTGCAATTTGTCCTGATTAGTTCGTAGAGTGTAGTTGTTATCTTTAAAGCATGCATCAGTGAGTTTTTCCTTTGCACACTATCTGTTCGATAAAATATCTATGTGAAAATATTCCCTGTTTATATTAATTTTCAGTTCAGCAAATTCCTGGGCAGCCTACTACAGGTAGGAACATGGAAAATAGCAAAAGAAATACCTGGAAGAACGGAGATGATTCTAATTTCAGGTTTTTGCCAGCTCTCATATTAGTTCTTAAACTTGAATATTTCCCTTTGGTTAATTCCCCTTTGATTTTGCTTTGATTATATATGTGACTTTAGTCTTTTTAACTGTTTTACCACTCATTTTTTTTTAAATTTGCATGTAAAGATGATAAGTCTCCTATTCTCACAATCTTAATGTAACTTATATTTGTGTGTCCCTTTACTTAGAGCTTAAATTAGTTAGATTGGGTTAATATACTGTGTACTTAGTTTGCATCATACGGAGTATTCTTTTTGCATTATGCCTTTTTTTTTATTAGCTAGTTTTTGTTCATTGTGTTTCAATGTGTATTATTGTATGTAAAGTGTTTGATAAAATGATAAAATGAACTTTGTACTGATGCATTGTTATGTTGATGCCAAAACACGATTCAAAGGGTGGTTTGGGAGTTTACAGGGCGAGGCTACTCCGAATTACACCGATTTCAGCTCTCTCACTTAGGAATCGGCTTGTGTCTGTTCTCTGCTTGTTGGTACGATGGCCAGAAAGAAATAGGGGTCAGGGGAGTCCTCAGTGATAATTACCAGGTCGAGGTTTGCTTCTTTAGAAGACATGGATGTTGATTTCCCGATATTGAACTCTGCAATAAACTGCCAGAGAAGAGAAAAATGGAAGACCAACCTGCTAAGGGAGCTAGGAAGATTCTGAATTCTGAGGAAAGGACTAAGGGGGTTCAAATTGAAACTGAAATTGCGTTGGCTACAGCTGGGGTCTCTGCCAATGTACCTAGAATTGTAGGGCTGGGAATCTTGGACAAACCTGGCAGCAGCTCAATGATTCCAGAACGGCTGGTTGCCAAGAATCTGTTGGTGCTTGAGATGCAAGACTCACGGGTGGAGCCAAATTGGGTAACAAAACCTTGGACTACCCTATTTTCGATGGTGATCGGAGATGCTAGCATGGAGGTACTTGATCTTTAACTTGGCACCTCTATCTTTACCTCCTTTAATTTTAATTTTTAGTTTTTAACCCAAAAATGAGGAAATATTGAAACCAAATCTGTTTTTTTAGAATATTATATCATAATTTAAAACTATTTACAGAATAGTTTTTGATGATGTGTGTCAGATTTTTGCTTTTGATGATTTGTTTGTTATACTAAGTACTCCCTCCGTTCCTAAATAAACTTCCAACTTTCCTTTTTCGTCCGTTCCAATTAAAACTTCCACTTTCCCTTTTTAGTAAAAAATTTGTGGTTCACAACATTTCTGACACATTTCTCTCTCCTCTGCACAACTCTCCACCACACAATACCTACTATCTTAAACTCTGTGCCAAACCTATTTGGAAGTTTTAATAGGAACGGAGGTAGTAGTACTTTATAGCAAGAATTGGAAAAACACTGACCAATTAAGATTTGATAGTTGTTTGTAGCAAGAATCTGAATCAATAGAGTTTTTGTGCAGCATACTCTTGAAAAAACATTTAAGATTAAAACTTGCAATATTATGATATTATATGACTGGTTGTGAAATATTTCAGTTGCACATCATATGAATAATTACTATATTCTTCGTACTCATTATATGGAAAAGTATTTGTTATATATAAACCAACAAGAAGGATGGCCTCTCTGCTGGTGCAGCCTCACATGGGCAGGTTGATGATTTTCATTTATTGTAACATGTAATATACATATGTGAATTGATTTAGTTCATTATTCCGCTCTATTTTTGGGCTAATCTATGAAAGCATCTGCTCCAAAGTCTCCAAGTAAATTTGCTCGTTGTTGTCATCCTTATGATATCAAGTGATGGGATTAGCTACAAGTTCTGTGAGACTCTGAGTAATTTCTTCTCACATAGCGATTTTTTCCCTTTTTAGTCAATAGAAAAGGTTGAGATGACTCGTTTGGGAAGAAGCAAATAAATTTTGACTGATGATTATAACTTTATACATGTGTAGACCGTATAGATTGCTTAGTTTTATATGGTATAAACAAAAACTAATCAGTTAAGTAGTGTGTATCTACAAAGTATCTAGTTAATAACTATATGATACGTATTAACTAACTAACAATTTTGATTCAGGTCCTCCAGAAGATGGAGTAGAGTATCTCAGGGGTGTGAGGTGGGAAGCAGAACGTTTTGCCAAAAGTGAAGGTTTCCAAGATTGAGCGAAGTAAGATAAATAAAGAACTGAGTGTTTATATGCCCTGTATTCCCGATATTGCAACTTGCCCAGATCACTTACTACCCCTTAAGGAGTGCGAGGATGAGTTATTTACTGATTTCTCACGGTTGAGATTGGCTTTATCACAAAAAGAAGGCTCTGGTGTTAGCCCTATATCTAATTATAACATTTTTTTTTTGCTTCAATAACTTTCACGATTGAACGAAAGGTACTCTATATGTTGGAACAAGTTGGGCTTGCATGAAGCACATTCTTGCATGAAATAGGTTTATTTAACTATCTTTGTGAAAAGATAAGTGTTTGACTGGCTACTATATCTTTCGATCAGCATATCAACCCTTTGTTTTTAATACTTTTTTAGTGTTTGTGATTTGTTATGTCGAGTTATGTTTTATTACTATTGTCATTTTTCAGAGGTACTTAGATTTTGAGTACAATGTGAGACTTGCACCGAAGATTACAGAAGAGGTACATTGTCTGGTTTCACCCAAACAAGAGGGCAAACCTCAAGAAAAAGCCTTATTCTCACGAATAAGTATGAGTGTATAACAAGGGATTCAGTGCAGCTGCTAAGGTTTCCTAGTGGTGTTGGCAGTATAAGAATGATGACTTCATTCTGTGTAGAAGAAAATGTGATGTCTACATATAAGAATAATGTGAACGCCTTGTGAAGCATGGTGTAAAAGTTGGACTAGTCAGCGTTTACTTATTGTGTGTTATTCATTTTTGGGGGGATGCCCCTATGAATTATGTACTATGTACACTCACATTTATGTGAGTATTTGAGATATAAATAAAAAACTTTGATATTATGGTTTGTAGTATTATATTATATTATATTATATTATATTATATATATTGTAATAAATATATCATGTGTGTTTTCATTTTTTTGGATAAAATGTAAGTATATATATCCAGAAAGAGCATAGTACAATGCATCAAAAAGAATCACAAGAACTATCTAAGCTAGCATGCTAACCTAAAATAGTATCTAACGTATCCACCCCCCCCCCCCCCCCTCACGGTGAGGGGGGAGAGAGAGATTTTCCGAAGTAAAAAACGGCACGGGACAGGCCCCGGCTCGTAGCACAAAATGAACCACAACAAAAAGTCCAAAAACTAGCACGGGACAGTTCCCCGGCTTAGTATCAAAAAAATCCTCAAAAACATCCAAACTAGATCCGGGCCAATAAAGGCCCATCCCTGGTAGAGTCCATCAGCAAAATCCAGCCCATCAGCAAGGCAAGCAGCCCCAAGCAACAGTTTCCGCAGCATCTCCAGCGTGCAAGGCCAGCTCAGCGTCCGAAGGCCCAAACCAGAGTAGGGTTGCGGCCCACACTCAAACAGCCTCCATCGCTTCCAGATGCGCCGCAAGAAGAGGCGGACAATTCAAAATTCAAAAAGGACGCTACAGTACACTGACAGAGCGGAAGTCAGCGGTCCAATCACGTGCAGGGCCAGACAGGTCCCCGTTGACTGCTCCGACCAACCTTCCGGCGAAGCTCCGACCAATGCATCAGCAACGGGAAATTCAGAAAACTACGCTCGCTCGTAGTATGTTCGCACCACCCCCACCCCAAACCCCCCCACCTGGTTCCGTCGTCTACAAGGCTTTCCGGTGGCCGGAGGAAGGAGAAAAAGCCAAAGTATCAAGACGGAAGAGTAACAAAGCCAAACCGGTGATCCCCGTCCACCCTCCACCCCCGTTTGACTCCGGCGACCCCAAACGGAGAAGGCAGAAAGTGTTAGAAGGCGGCTTGACAGTAGCCGGAAAAAGGTAGATGCAGGCGGTTCCAACCCCAGCAAGCCGGAGGTCATTACCGGCGATTCCTGGTCACTTTCAGCGGAAAAACGAAACGTAGAAATCATCCAAAAGCCAAAGAAACCCAAACGAGAAACACTGTAATCGCACCAGTCTCCCCGATCGTCTTCTCCGGCCCAAATAACTCAAACCAAAGTCACCCAAATCGTAAAAACCCAAAGCTCAAAACTTTCAGAGCAAGACCCACCTTCAAACCTCCAAAACTGAGCAAAACCCAACCCTTTCGCCATCCTTAACCCCCCCCCCCCCCCATCTCAAAGATTAAGCCATGGGTACTAACCGTTATTGAGCCAGAGCTGGTGTTTTCCGGCGAGCCTCATCTTCAAGCTACCAAGGACTCAGCAAAACTGAAAATCGCGTTAGTTCCCCCACGACCAACCATCCATCGCTAAGCCACCAAAACCAAGCCCGTTCACCACCGTCACACGCCCCCCATCTCAAAGAATGCACTCGGGGTTACTAGCTGCCGTCGGTGATGACAGAGTTTTTTCCGGCGAAGTTGAAGCCATAAGGGAACCAGGTACCAGCCTTCAAGCACCAAACCCCCATGCCAGACCCGTTCACCTCCGTCACATGCCCACCCTCTCAAAGCAGTGTTCGGCGTTACTAACTGTCATCGGTGGTGGTTCTGCAATTTCTGGCCAGTTCCTGAAACCCATAGATAGCCAAGAACAGAATTAAAGCTTCACGAATTCACCAAACAGACCAACCCCACGGAGTGGAAACAAGATTCCAAAAAATTTCAAACAATGAAATGGAAGCCCGCCGGAGCCCGGAGGCGCCGGCGGCGGCGGCCACCGTGAGTGGTGCCGGCCTGAGCTCGAGAGGGAAGAAAAGCGTGAGGCTAGAGAGACTCTCTCAACTTCCCTCTTCAATGTGTGTTTTCATAGTACTATGATGCTGAGGTGTCTATAAATCTATGATGTTGAAGTGTCGTTAATTTTTGTGATGTATTAACGTCACAATGTATTCTTGATGCATAAATGTTGCTATTTTAGACGATACATTAGTGTCATAATGTGCTGACACAAAACCGTCCCCGAATCAGTGACACTTTATTTAGTGTCACTAGCCGACACTTTCCCCGACACTTTTTTAGTGTCGCAGAAAGATTTTGTGACACTAAATTAGTGTCACTATAGGCCATTTTTCTACTAGTGTGATCCAATCAACTTCCGTCAAGCCATGGAAAGTTCCAACTCTCAAGAATGGATTAATGCCATGAAAGATGAGATGAAGTCTATGAGTGACAATGACGTTTGGGAGTTAGTCTCATTGCCTGAAGGTATTAAACCCATTGGTTGTAAATGGATATTTAAAATCAAGAGGGATTCAAAGGGCAATGTTACAAGGTTTAAAGCTCGTCTTGTTGCTAAAGGCTACACTCAAAAGAAAGGAATTGACTATAAAGAGACTTTCTCTCCGGTATCCTCGAAAGACTCTTTTAGAACAATAATGGCATTAGTGGCACATTTTGATCTTGAGCTTCATCAGATGGATGTAAAAACTGCATTTCTAAATGGTGACATTGAGGAATCAATCTATATGGAGCAACCAGACAATTTTGTTTCGGGAGATTCAAAGAAAATGGTTTGCAAAAGTAAAGAAATCCATCTATGGACTCAAACAGGCTTCTCGTCAGTGGTATCACAAGTTTCATAAAGTCATTATATCTTTTGGTTTTCAACCAAATGTCAGTAATGATTGTATATACCACACGTTCAGTGGGAGTAAGCATATTTTCCTGGTCTTGTATGTTGATGACATACTGCTTGCTAGTAACGATATAGGCTTATTGCACGAAACTAAGAGATTTCTTTCAAAGAATTTTGAAACGAAAGATCTTGGTGAGGCTTCTTTTGTATTAGGAATTCAAATTCACCGAGATCGCTCCAAAGGCGTTCTTGGACTCTCACAAAAGAGCTATATCGATAAGGTTCTCAAAAGGTTTGGTATGCAAGACTGCAAACCAGGAGATACCCCAGTTTCTAAGGGAGACAAGTTTAGTCTCATGCAGTGCCCTAAGAATGGTTTTGAATCTAAAGAAATGATCGAGGAACATTCCTTATGCTTCGGTTGTAGGAAGTTTGATGTATGCCCAGGTTTGTACAAGACCTGATTTGGCATACATTGTTGGGATGTTAGGCAGATATTTGAGCAATCCGGGAATGGACCATTGGAAAGAAGCCAAAAGGGTCATGCGGTATTTACAGAGAACAAAGGAATATATGCTCACATATCGGAGATCGGATCAGCTTGAGATCATTGGGTATATCGACTCTAATTTTGCTGGATGTCAAGATAGCTTGAGATCCACTTCAAGCTACATCTATATTCTAGCTGGAGGAGCTATCTCCTGGAGGAGTATAAAGCAGACTCTTACAGCTACTTCCACCATGGAAGCAGAGTTTATAGCATGTTATGAGGCATCCAATCAGGCATTATGGCTGCGAGATTTTGTTAGTGGACTACGCATAGTGGACAGCATTGAAACACCACTTAAGCTATTGTGTGACAATAGATCAGCAGTCCTCTATGCTAAGAACAACAGTAGTGTGACCAAGGCAAAACACATTGGGGTCAAATTTAAGGCTGTTAAGGAACGAGTACAAGAAGGAAAGTTATCTATAGAGCACATTAGCACAAACTCCATGATTGCGGATCCGCTCACTAAAGGATTACCACCCAAAGTGTTTCATGAGCATGTTGCTCAAATGGGTGTCAAATCAGTTGAGGATTATGAGTTTTAGTGGGAGTTTGTAATGTTTCTATATTTGGTTAATTGACTTAATTCAAGTTTTTAAGGTTATTTTCTGCAGAAATAAAGTTTAAAGTTTTATTGTACTCTTACAGTTATATTATTGATCTCAAGGTGGACCAGTTGGAAATAGACATTCTATTTCAGACCACACTTTATGTTATTTCCACGCTACACACCTATACTTGATCCATGTCGTTTATTATATTAATATATGTGATCATTGATGGGTCTAGTTATTCAAATATAGCAAAGACTTCTTTGGTCCTATGTTGATATAATTAATGGACCAGATTGATTAAAGATGACTACAGTTTGATAGCAAAATTTTGGAGCTCCTAAAGTAAACATACAATTCTAAGGATTGTGTATACATGTGTATGTCGTCCAAGTGGGAGATTGTTAGATTATTGGACTTATACTGAATGTAATATTCACAATATATTATTTATCGGGTTTAATTGTATGTTATATGCTATCTTATATTTAGGCCCAAAATTAGTGGTCCTATGGATATTAATTTACGTGGGCTAATAAGTTATCTAATAAGGTATAGGGCCCAAATGTGTAGAGACTCATGGGCTTGACCTAATCAATGATGGGCTGATTAGGGTTAAGCACTCTCTATAAATAAGAGGTTATGGTCCCTAGTTGAACACGTCATTCCGTCTTTCTGCATCCCATCGCTAGAGAGATAATTCCCGAAGGTGTGTATCAACTAGAAGACACAAACCCTAGCCTCCGTCTCCCGGATCTCTAAAGGTCATCTCCCATGGAGTCAGGTACGCTTCCGCTCAGTTAATTCTCTAGATAATTTCAATATGAAGATTAAAGTATTCATGAATTTATTCCAACATGTGTTTCATCAAGTCTAGTTTATACACACCAAATTTCATCTTAAAATTCAATCCGTAAGATAGCCAAATATGTTTTGAAGATAACTGCGTTTTATATGTGTATTTTGGCGCAGTTAACTTCCAAATATTATTTCATTGCTTTCTTGATTGATTTTTTTGCTGAATGTTTGTGTGCATAAACTAGACTTGTTGAGGAATATTCTCAAAGAAAATTAGCAAAAAATACCACCGGAAACCGCCAAAAACTTCGGCGGCCGGACGGCGCTCCCGTCAGAAAATTCCTGACCGGAAGATTACTCTATATAAATATACCCGTATATATTTATAGCTTTGGGAGTACTAAAAATAATTCTCTGGTTTGGAAATGTTTTAA